CACGCGGGGTCTGGATCTGCGGCGCCGCAGGAGAACGCAGCTGAGACTTCAGAAGGCCTGGCTCAGGCTCCAGTACCTGGATCTGCTGATGGAGAATCTGATGGTGCTGCTCCTGCTGGTACAACATGTGCTGCTGCTGCGTCTTCTCCAGGGTCCTCTCGTCCATGTGCCCGCCGTACATCTTCTGAAGCTGCTCGCACTCCTGTAACGAATCCAACACGCCCCGTTAGCCACCTTTCTGTATGCGGCACGCTTGCTGCGCAAAAAGCCTCTCTGTGGCCCGCTCGCCTGAAAAAGCCTGTAAAGAAAGCCAAACAGCCTCATTTGGCAGAACCAGGCGTGCAATAACGAGGCTAGCAAGAGCCTTAGACAAGGGAGACGAAAAGCGCGGCCAGGACGCCAGGCTGGTGCCGTTGCCTTCCCTTCAAAAGGCAAGCATGGAGCTCTAGTAACAATAACGTCAAGGTGAAAAGAACACGTGGTGAGGTGAGAGTCCTGTCCTGGGGCCACTGACAAGACATGTGCTGGCTCCGCGGGGAACAGCACGCAGCAGGAACTGCCCTTCTCCTAGGACACCCTGGAACAGCCCCAAAACTTTGCTGCCACAGAAAACTTGGGAGAGCAGCAGCCACCGCGAGTGGGAGCCGTGAGGGAGGGCAGGCAGAAGGGCCCACGCGTGCGCACAGCACGTGCTTTGCTCCCCAGATGAAGGGGGGTGGAAGTCCCCAGTGTTCCCAGGCAGCCAGGGAACAGCACGTAGGGTTAGAGGACACTCAGCAGGGTTGCTGCACCTGTATGCAGGGGAAACAGCTCCATGGCTGGAAAGCCACCACTGTGTGTCCTCAGCCATCAGCACTGCAGATTTCACCTTGTGCTTCCTGAAGCAGCACGGCCGAGACACTAAAAGGCCCCTTCAGAGGACCCTCTCTTTTACCTGCTGAAGCTGCTTGATGCTGCTGTTATTGCCCATCTTCTCCAGGTGGGCTTTGAAAGCCTGGATGCTGGCAGCACCATCAGAGAAGCGCCGAACCGGGGAGAAGCGTTCAGTGGGGAGGTGCAGAGTATTTGAGTCCTTGTAAATAGAACTGAACACATGGGGAAGCGGGTTAGAGATGCCAGCTTAAAACCAAACTCCAGTACAGAGACATTTAATTTACACCAGCCACACCAAGTTCTACCTGCCCACTCGCCCAGAATGAACCAAATCCGAGATCAAGAAATTAAGTGCCATTGCTGCAGTGAAGAGGAAACGGGATTACCGAGTAACCTCAGTGCCTGGGCAGACAAATGTGTTTCAAGGCTGGAGGTAATTCTGTCACAAACCAGATTCCAGATGGGCAGCAACTCGTTAGCCATCCCCACAGGTGCATCTACCCCTCAGATGGAAAAGGTTTACAGAAACCATTCGGTGTCCCAAAAATGCCAACTTCACGTATTCAGTAGCCACTTCCTGAGCCCTCCAGCTCCCCAGGGCTCCCAACTTCATCTGATGCCTGTGGTAAACGGGAGGGGCCCGTGGAGAAAGGAGCCTGCCGCGCTCCACAGCCCATGAGGAGCAGAGAGGGCTGGCATCCCTGCTTACGGATGCACCCCATTAAAACAGAAGGGCAGGAAGGTAGCTCTGTGCAGCAGGGGGATCCTTCCCACCACGTGAACCAGGCGGTCACTGGACACGCAGAGTCTCCCAGTTGCCTGGATGCTCGGCCCTGGGCAAGCAGAACGGGTACATCTGAAGTGCAGATGTCGCCAGGATCGAGGCAACCGTGCCCCAGCT